AGTACAGAAAAACTAGTAAAATAAATTAATTGTTATTAAAAACTGAGAAATTTGCAAAAAACTATATCAGAAATACGGCAGCAATGTTTTTCAAGGTACTCTGCCTAATTAACATTGCACAAATACCTGTTGCTTCGTAATTATTTAAAGGATAAACGCTAAATTCAACAGGAATCGTTGAATGACGGAATCTATTTCGAAATGTTAACCTGTTCTCATAACCTCGAATATTGTGTTTATAAAACCATACAACACCAAACATTTGAATGGTTAACTCCAAACAAGCTAGTGCCTGGGTAATCTCCTTATTATCCACTCTTATCAAGGAGCTTCTCGCATTCAGTTAATTAACCCCTGCTCCATTTGTATCTCCTTGTGCTGTGTGTATCGAACAAACGTGGTAGGAACGTAGCCGGTATTTATTTGGTGCCTGGGAAAGTGTTAGTTATTGTGCTCTGAGTGCCCCTGGAAGGCCCTGGATTCGATTATGCCCCATACTTGTTCCCCTGTGTCTGGAACCCGAACATCGATTGTTGTCCATTATCTTCCTGGAACGACTCTCCTCGCTCTTTGTTGGCGTGAGTTCTTCTAGCTTCTGCTATGTTACTGTAGGATTTCCCCTGAACTAATCGCAGATCCGCAAATTCGTGAAATAAAATTCAAAGTAAGTCACAGTTTGACAGATTATTGTTATTATTGACAAGGGCTATCCACTTGTAACTATCTGTTAATGGCAAAAAACATCATTGCCGCTGGGCCTTTTCATCAAAAAATTGTAGAGCAGAACTTTTTCAATATCGAAAATTTTTGTAATTTGAAGCAAAGATCGTAATTTTTCTTTTTGAATGCTTAAATATTCCAATATGCTACCAATTAAACATGGAACCATTTCAAAATAATGCTTAATAGCAAAGTTGAAATTCGATCTTCAACTGGAACTTCAACTTGGCGTCATTCCTCTGGAGGTGTTGTCTGGCGGTGTTTTAGGAGTACAGAGAAAATAGTAAAAAAAATTAATTGTTATAAAAAACTGAGAAATTTGTAAAAAACTATATTAGCAAGACGGCAACAATGTTTCCAAGGTAATCTGCCTAATTAACATTACGTAAATACCTCTTGCTACGTAATTAATAAAATCTCTGGAAACCATGGAATTATACAGAAAGTGACTGAGAAATAGTAGTGAAAATAAAACAGCATTAACACAACATGCACACCAAATGTTGCAGTTATATGACGAATGTAAATGTTGCACAATTTTGATTTTAACAACGCAGATATATTAGTTAGGGAAACAAATTATCATAAAAGAAAAATCCAAGAAATGATTCAAATAAAAAAACATGCAAAAGCAGTAAATTTCAGATCAGATACCGACAACCTTAGCAACATTTACCAAACCCTAATAAAGCCATAAGTATGGAAGTACACTAGTGAAAAATTAAAACTATTTCTGCTTGCCCTCAAAACATGATGAATCTTTTATCACTTTATAAATTATAGTTTTAATACAACATGTTTTAATTGTGAATTGGCGTTTGTAGTTTGTGTAACGCCGCAACGTAATGAAATAAACGATGTTCAAAATTTTTACTTCACACTTTGACTGAGACCCAGGAAAGATAAGAATATTTTAACGAAATTGTTAAAATAAATACTGAATATATATCTTATATTATATATTCCATAGCTAACTTCAATCAACTAAATTGAAAAAGTATAAATTGTTCGCAGACATTTATTTTCGAAAAAAACCTAACGATGTGATATATCACAGAAATCGTAATAAAATGATCTATTCGGTAAAGCAATAATCAAGTATGGTTGCCATAAAAACAACTGAAATTTGTGTCACATGTCAAAAATTACAGTTATTTTGGAGTTGGATAATTCAATAATGTCGTTAATTGAGTGAAAATGAAAAGAAAATGTGATTAATGTTTAAAATTGAGTTTATCGAATATTGCTCACCCTGCACTCAAGTAGAACAGTATGGTAAGTGGAAATTTCAAACGACTTTTGCATTCCAAAAAGTGCATTTTGTGCGGCAAGCCGCTGTATGAATTTGGCGTACCTACGCTATAAATATACACATAAATATGCCGGCAATGTTAACGGCGGGGCCCAGCGACCTGTGGCAACTAACGTAGGCCGCGGATATGATGGTGTTTAATGCGGATTAAAGCTTGAATGCACCAAAATGTGCGCTTTTCTAATTACGCTAGTAAAAAGATTCAATGGTTTGATAGGGAATTTTGCAAGTATTCCAGTAAGTTGACTTTAAATCGCCTCGTCGCCCTAGAGACTTGGTAGTAATTTGCAAAAAACTCCGGCTGGTTGGTGGCATAAACGGTCGAATTATTTGCGACCCCTTCGCGAGCATGCGTCCCGACTGGGGCCTGCCTGAATGCAAGTTCGCTTGCCCAGACGAGCTGCAAAACAACGGGTGCTGCATCTATTGCATTAGAGTGTACGCCGCGGGAGCCGGTAGAACACCCCCTTTAAATTTCAAAACCGAAATTCGCTAACCCTTTTTGGTTTATCGAAAATTCTCCGATATTCACGCTCGTCCACCGAACTTTCTGTTTTCGTTTTGGAGCCAAAACTGTGCACCGCTTTTGGACGAAGTTTTCAGTTAACAGTGCCTTAAGGATTTACTTTCGTTTTTTTACAAGTTAAATGTTAATTACTACCTATTTAGTTGTTAGTGTTATACATTTTAGTTATTTAAATAATGTTTGTTGTGTTTGTTAATGTGTATTAAGTGTTTTCAACGGACTTTTACAAAGTAAGTGCCCTTTAGATATACACGAATATTTATCAACCTGCGTTAGCTAGAATTCATGTTATTGTCGCAAAATTAATTTCAAATACATAGTGCAAATGCTCTGGCGTGCAGGAAAAAAATTGCATAAGCATCCTGGTCTTGGGTAAATGCAATACTATGCAACCGAATATACCTGCATCCTTAATAAGTGCAGAACTTGCTGATCTTTTATCGCCCAATACTCTACTTTGTTCATTGGGCATTTTCCTTATGCAAGTATGAATTGCACTGATAAATAACTATTTGCAATGCACAATATTGTAATTTATTCGCGGTTCAAAACCGGCTTATGCTGTTTGACCCTGTCGCGAGGCTAGTCGTTTGCGCGCAAACTTCACCAACCTGAAGCTGACGCGCTGCCGTTTACGTTCGCCATTATTGCCGGCCGCCATTTTAAATTTTAGCAAATTTGTAATCAATTTTAAGTGTTGTGTTCGTTTTAATCCGTGCGGGCTGTGATAGACTCCCATTGGTGAGTATGCGAAATCAATTTTGTCAAGTTTTCGCTTTCTTTTCGCACATATCCCACACCTTCGACCGGTGTAGCATGTTGATGTAAACTGTCATTTACACCTTCTTTGTTTTCGCTGGAAAATGGCGCATTTTGGGTAGGATTAGTTTAACAAACTATTGTTTACATACCAGAATTAGGAAATAGCTTCGGATACTATCAGTAGATTGTTGTCATTCATCTAGGCATGCAGGAGGTGTAGACAAATTATTACATTTCCAGCCCCTCTAACCTCTCAACAAAATTTGCGGGATTCATCAAAGTTGCGGTATTGCCAGACTGTCTTTTATCTCACCAACACACGGGACGACAGGATCGGATTAAGTGTGATTTTGAAATTATTTAAAACAACTGCCGAACCACTAAACCCAAAACCTATTATTTATTGCGTTTCTTCGGAGCTTTTATTAAAATACCTTGAAATCCCAAATGTTTAACACGGACAAATTTCCGCTAATTTTGGAACTCTGATTGCTGAGAGCGATTTTTATTTCTCTATGAATCCTTTTTGGTTCAATTTTTTTCGGTTAGTGCGTGTTTTATTAGTGGTTTAGATCAAGTTTCTACAGGGTGGAAATGAAACAATGGACAATTGGTGAGAGTTCCATATGCTCACAGTTGGCAAAAAATAGTTTTTTTTATTTAAACGTCACAGGCATTAGACGACCACATATCTTAAAAAAGTTTTTTAATTTTTTGCTCATCTCGTTTATTTACAGAGTTGTCCTAAAAAATCAAGATTTTGGTATTGCATTGATAACTCTTTACTTTTGAACCTATTTTCAAAATCTAAGGCTCATGTTGCAGTTAACACTTCGCAGTCGACTTGAGAAAACTAATCAAAATACCGAGTTGCATAAATAAACCAAATATTTCAATCTGAACTTTACTTTAGTCTTTAGTTGCAAATGTGCCAGTCACAGATCAGCGGCAATTCTGCTTTGGGTCATTAACTATGCAACTCCGTATATTGAACTTTGGTCTTAAGTTGTATGGAGTTGGTTAGCTTCAACATGAGCTTTAGATCGTTACCATCGGGTTGTTATCGCTGCAAATCCAAAAAGTTGATTTTTTAAGACCACTTTGTAAATAAAAGCTATTTCGTAAATTTCGTTTATATTTAAACTTTTGATGTTGAGATTAGTGATTGGCACTATTGAATAATTATTAAATTAATGATTGCAACTATCGAATAAAAACATTCGAATTAGTTCATTGATTGAATAGTGCACGCTATCTAGTGTGTAGGTCTGTTAAAAATTACAAACTTCTTCTAAAAATTCTTTTGGAAATACAGATACTTATTCATAAAAAAGTAATGCAGTGTCTTAAAATGCATCTTTCAGATCCGAGATGCATCGTGTATGTTTGACCCTAAGCTGTTTATTATTACGATGCCAATATGACATGTTATACGTATTTATTACATATATAAATAGAATTTTACTGATCGAAATCCAATTCCCTGCAAATCGTATAGTCCGTAGAACTGTTGGACATAATTTATCTGTTTCTGGTCGAGTCTGAATAGGTTGATTTATTTTAGGCAGGTTAATTTATAATTTATGGGTTCTTCTCCTTGGTCTTGTTTGTTTGGTAAATTCATTAGCTTTTTTAGGATTTTCTGTAAGACGTATGGTCACCCTCCACGCAAGGTCATATTTCGAGTCAGGTTCGGTCTATTCTCTAGCAACATATGATTTATACGTATAAATCTCATTAGCGTGAAATTATGCAATCCATTGTCAGGATGTTTAATACACACCACCCGCGGTCTCCCAAGACGAAAGAAAACGGAATTTCCGGGGCATGCGTTTCTCATATTCCAAGAAGGGTTTTGAAAACCTTGGATACGATATTAGCCGTTTTCTTTGAAAGTAGTGAAAGTCCCTTTTGTCAAAAACATAGTTAATGATAAAAATGAATACAATTAAATAAATGAATAAACTTTTTGCAAAAAATCTGTTGAATTTTTGAGTAAAAAACCAATTTTACTAAATCAATTTTAAATATATGTATTTGCTTAAAAAGTGAAAAATTAAATTATTTAAAATTTAAATTCGTTCAGTGCAATAGCTTAATCAGATTATCCTATAATTACAAAATACATGAATAAAACACGGCTATCGTATAATTCAAATGAATTACATTTTAAATTACAACTATCAAATAATTTGATAGTTCTCATCACTGCAAATTATAGCTATCGGATTATCCGATAATGCTTATAAAACAATTGAGTAAAACACTGCTATCGAACAACTAAAGTGAATTACATTTCAAATTAACTTAATAACTATTTAAAAACTATCGAATAATTCGATGGCTCTCATAGCTGAAAACATCGTTTTCGAATAATTCAAATGAATTGCAACTATCGAATTATTCGATAGTTTTCATCACTGAATAAAACATTGCTATCGAATATTTCGATAGTTCCCATCGCTTGTTGAGATCCAAAACCCTTTTTTTCTGCCCAATTAGGAGCATGCCAAACTTTCCAAAATTTTGCATTTTTTTATTTGCCACGCTGCAGAAGTTTTGTGGGTGCTTAATGTTTGCCAAAACATTAACTAACATCAAACGAATGAGGGAAGCAAATCCTCAATAACGCTTCAAATAGAAACAAAATTTGCGGGAAACGATCAGAATTTATCCAGTTCTAAAGTTGGGCACATTTGGTTGTGTAACGTTCATTTTGTTGAGCTGCTTATTTATTTATAAATCGTTTTTACTTAAGGAAAATATGTTGCTCTACAAAACATTTCAATTTTCATAACTAAAAAGTATTTTTGATCAATTGTAATTAATTGGGTCTGTTTGACCCACTTTGAACGGCAAAATAATTTTCAGTTTGTCGTACAAACCAGTTTTTTCATTATCCAGGATTATTCGAAATTCGCCAATTTTTTATTTCCATGTGAGTTTCTTTATTGTGTTTATTGTGTTAGTGTCTTTATTCTGATAGGTGTTGCTTTCTGCTTTCGTCTTGATCGGTCGGAGATAGTGGTAGAAAAAAATTATTATTTTTCTTGGGCGAACGTTTCGGCTTTATTTAAGCCATCATCGGGGCTCATCAATTTAGTGCATTTTCGCCATATAATGATGGTCGGGGCATGTTAACAAAGACAGGTGTAATTTCTTTATTGCGAGCCTTTCAGTTTCTGAACAATCATCGTCTCAATCGCTGTGTCGTCCCTTAACGAGTATTTATTTTCCAATTTGTTAACCACAAAAGGTATACATGTTCAGTCTCACAAGATTATTAAACTTACGTACGTAGAAAACTTGCTCGTAGGGAATCCGAGAACTCAGAAACTTTTCTGCTAAAACTACATATTTTACAGCGTCAAACGTTAAATCCATATTTAATTTATTATCATCTTGCTTCAATGTTCTTTACCATCGTAGCAAAATTTTTCCCTAATTAAGTACTATGTACTATAGGTAAAGATATAAAGGATTTTTGTAATGTTTCTTCAAAATTTCAAGGATATAGCCATTGCCACTATTGAAAATATCACTTTGGTATTTTAGAAATATTCTGATTTTGAGTCCTGTATTTTCACATTCGCATTTTAGACTCCCTTTTTGAATGGGCCTGAGCGTACCATTTCAACAATATCGAAACTCGCTGCTATAGAAGCAATTGCACAAAAACTCGTTTTGGGACTCTCAGTAAGTCAGGTTTACCCCCTATGCAGTGACCGGACTTTTAAGTCGATAATATAGTTTTGAGAAGAGAATATATGAAACTGGATGTTTCAGATGGTCCAAATTTATATAACGCTTGCTGACTATTTTCTTTCATTCTTGATAGTTTTTATTTCATTACCTTGTATGCTTGTCTGCCTTCTTCTCAATTTTCAGGTTTTATATTGATTTTTCATTTAAAGACAATTTCCTGTTTGTTCAAGCTTTTAATTTTTTATTTCAAAGTGGATAGTAGTTTTTTAACCATTATTTACTGCTTATTTTGGCACAATGGAGAAAGGTCTAGGTACACATTAATTGAACTGCATTGAGAACAAAGAGAGGTGAGAATTGAATGATAAAGCTAGCATTTTTTAGTTTTTGTTGTCTAGTTTGTCTTCCTTTGAATATAATACAATCTGGAATAAAATCGATATGCAACAATTTAAATGCAAATTTTAAGTCGACTTGTTATTACTTATTCATGTTATTTACTGTATTTAAACGAAGCTTCGTATTATTTTTGATTTGGCACTGGTGGCAATTTGTAATTTTGCGACTTAAAAGTAATTCTAAAATTTAAATAAATTATGATTTTATTCCTCTCGGAAAACATATTTTTCTTCAATTATCTGGAAAATATGTTTGATGATTTTCTTATAATTAATAACGACATTCTTGAAACACATGAAATTAAATGAAACTTTGAAATATTTTGTAGGTATATGCTGTTGTCAGTAGGAATTTAAAGCATTTAAACGTATGTGCATTATTGTTCTTTTATGGTCGGCAAAATAATTGAAAACGCGTTTTCTGTTTATTAAATTAAACCGTCTTTTACAGGTTGTAGAAGTAAATGCTTCGGCCCTGAGCTGATAGATTAAGAATCGATTGCAAAAGAAAGCCTTGAAGTAGACGTTCTTTATATCTCCTGTTGCAAAAACTTGAATTGCGCTGTTAATGTCTAACGTAAAAGCAAAAATACACATGTGGTCAAGATTTTTTCTTCCAGTAACCTTGAATTCCATTCCCCTATTTATACCTGTTCTAAATATATTCACATTGTGAAATGCAAATTTCACCAGAGTGATGCAGGCAGCGGTGCACTAATTTGCATGTGAAGAAGCTGAACTCTAGTACGATTTTAAATTTAAACACATGGCTCAAAGAGGAAAGGGCTCTGGGAGGGGTCCCGGTTTATACGGCTACTATGGCAGAATTACAAGTATTGATTTGCTACAGCTTCTGCATGCGTTGCTATCTAGACAATGTCTTGTTAATGTTAATGAAATAATCACATTCATGTTTAAATAGTGCAGTAAACTTGCTGAAATTGGCAGGAAATTATGGTGTTATTTACCAGTTGCATTGCAAATTGTATTTTGATACCAGCAGTAGTCGCTGATTTATTATTAGCTATTTACATTTCACAAGAACAGCTTTGTCATGAGTATTTCTCATTTTTATTATTTCTTGCTTGCTCTAATAAGTCATTGAGTTTAGAAAAAACTTTACGGCAAATTGGAATTAACTGCAGAAACCAATCACTGGATTTAGTTTGCCATTAGATACCT